GGAGCACATTTTGCTTTTAAAAGGCAATGTATGTTTTTAATGTTTTTATCATATATTCATGCTATAAGGTATTTCTCCCGCCTTCATGGTGTAGTGGTCTGCATGCTGGGTGCGTATTCCAGAGGTCCGTGTTTCGATTCCCGGTGAACGTGTTGCTAGTTTTTCATCTCTCTTGCTTAAAAAAATACCTAATGTGTCTACAGTGGCGCCCAGACTAAAAAAGGTGGTGGATCATGATTCTCCACTCCCAGGATTTGGCAATCGGGTCCCCTAAAACCCCAGCTGCCCTTTAAAAGGGGGAGTATATAAGGTATTTCTCCCACCTTCTTTGCGTGCCTTCGTGGTATAGTGGTCTGCATGCTTGGTGTGTATTCCAGAGGTTTGTGTTTTGATTCCCGGCAAATTCGTTGCTGATTATTCACCTCTCCTGCTTCCAACAACAACCAAAAAAAAAAGTCTCTACAGTGCATTCAAGGTATTAAATTTCATTCGGCATAACAGCAATTTAAAAGATTGCTTTGCATAGATGTATAATAGTTACTGTCATTTGTTTTGTTCTCGCAACAAAATTCCTTCTCATTACAGTCTTCGGGACTAATGTAACATAACCCTGTTTAACACAAAATTATAAAATTTTAAAAATGTAAATAATACATTAACAAAAAAAGCTTTTCTGTTATTAACTTAGATACCTCCTTGAGGTAAAAATAAATGTATGCTAGCAACTTTGTACACATACATAAAACAAATGATGCTTGTGTATATGCATAGATGTATAATAGTTACTATTATTTGCATTATATTTGCAACAAAATTTCTATTCATTACACTCTTTTGGACTAAACAACATAATCATGTTAACACACAAACATAAAAAAGTAGAATACATTAAAAAAAAAGTAGGTAATACATTAACAAAAAAATTGTATTTAACTTAGATACCCTCCTTCAGCAAAAAATGAAAGTATGCTAGCAACTTTGTACGTTGTACTTGAATATAAAGTAAATTTCATACATTTTATTTTTGTAGAAATCAGATATTTTCTTTTCTAAACTCTTTCCATGTGTGAGAAGTCATAGCTGTGTTGACTCTAATATGTCTTCGAGGCTGGTAGCTATCATCATTTTGTCTTTTCTGCTGCTGGAATTAGTTTTTTATTCTTGTCAACTTCCTTTTCCCTTCAGAATATTCAAATGGAGCTGGTCACTATCTTGAAAGGTTTCTTTCCCTTATGTGATCTGCACCTCCTGGTCTCCCATTCATCTTTGCTTTTTGCTTGCTGTTTCTTTCAACTTTCCATCATATTAGTTTCACTTCCAGCAGCTGTTTATAGCATATATTTGACTTTGACTGACCAGTCATTTCTTCATCAAGATAAGTTCCCTGTTGATCTTTTTCAATGGGTTTTTTTCATTTTCACCATTCTTCCACCTGCCATTGTTTCTTACTCAGGTGGTTACGATATCTCATTCATCCTGAAACTTTTTCTTGAACCTTGAACATATTCTTTGTTATTGTTTCCTTCTTCTCCTTTATAGGTTTTCTTTCTGAAGCATTATTCAGCCTGGGCTTTTCTTTATTTTTTCATTCCTGTAATCCCTTCTTTTCTCCCTGAGGATTTTCTGACATGGATGCTGGTCTGGATGAACCGAATCTCTTGATGGAGCTGCCCTTCTCAAGCCAAGTGATTCATGCAGTACCATCCCTATAAGTGCCATATGATCTAGCTAATAATATTTTTTAATATAATCCATATTCACTTCTGCAAATTCACTATTCTGTCTTTTTAAACATACACTTGTTTTCCTGAATCTGGTGATTAAACAGGGGCCTCCGAACTTATTACAAAATTTTCCCAGCCTTCCTTCTGGTGCACACGGAAAAGAATGTTTTATTTTCAAAAGCTTATCTCCACCTTAAAGTCAACCTCATGCTTCTTTTTATCATAGTCAAATTTTCGTTTTGCGTGGGCCATGTCTGACATGTGCATTGTCTCATCAACTAACTTCTGAATCTTTAAAGAATAAATTCTGTTGCCTTAAAAAAAATTTTTTTTTAAATCCAGAGGATTATTCAGTGTCCTGGAAAAGAATAATTCAGCCAGTTATTTAGCATTAGTGTTGTGTGTTTTGTGGGTCTTTGTGCATAGGCTAGTTCATTAACACAACTATTTTAGCATTGGTGGTAATTTCTGACATAACTGTGGCTAAGTTTAACTATATTCTCCTTCTGTGCAATATTTGACTGTGGTTGATAAGGGACAATATATTCTTTTATGCCAATATCTGGATATATTATAAAAATTTGACTTACAAATTTATTATTATTTAGATTACTTTTATTTTAGATTGTTTTATTTTGATATAAATTAATTTTAAAATGAATGGATCACACTCTGAGGTGCCCTTCTGAGAAGGCATTCCCCGTATTGAGAACTCAATCTCATTCCGGGTCCACTCCCCCTTTGGGCACGTCATGGTGGTTCAACCTCCACTATTACCCTCCAGGAGAGCAGCGCACCACCTGGGGACGCACCCCAGGCAGCACCGGTCGTCTAATGCTCCTACCAGTCGCTTGGGCAAGCCCGTCGCAGCGGGACATTACCCAGCGACCCCGGGGGAGAACCCCAGGTTACTAGTACCACACTGTGCTAGGACGTGCCAGACTCCGGGGCCGGCCAATAAGTGACCTTTCCCAGAGCCTTCAGAACCACCAAGTTCATAAATTTTATACCCCCGTGGCTGAGACTGCCTAGGTACAGATCCTAGCCAGTAGCTTCGCAGAATTCTCTACGTCGACCCCGGGGGGGGGGACCCTTCTGAGAAGAATTATTTCTGATTGAAAAAATGAACAACAATCACAAGCAAGTATCTATTTTTATTTTTTTTCACTAGGATGAAGGTCGAGCAAATCAATTACTACCCAATTCATTAAGGAATGAGGATTTTATGCTGTCCAGGTACCTGGCTAGGCTACATTTAATATTGTTATATAATTGACAAATGTTACAGGACTTGATATTCAGTTTCAGGTCTTTGTAGCTTTAGAAAATAAACAGCTTTTTATACTCTCAGGACTGTTTTTCATATTCCAAGATGTGCTGAAAATATTTAAACTTGGTATTAACACTAGGATCGATATAATGGTCATGCTGGCCTGAAAGGGTTAAATTTCTTGCTGCCCATTCAGTGGGTGTCTTTTTCATGGGTCTGTACCCTTTGATATATGGTCACATCTGGTACTTGTCAACTGTTCTTAATGTCAAACCGGATTTTGGCATATCCTAAATGTCACAAAACTAAGGTCCCTTCAAATGAGTTCGGACTACTAAGTGCATATTCATATACTTGGATATATGTGTGTCTATGTGTAAAATAATTTAAATACATTGAAGGTAGATGTTGTGTAATAGAGAAACTTGGCAGTTAGGCTTCTTTAAATGTTCCTTTTCGCTTTTTTGACCAAACATTTCTATAAGCCAACACAAAATAAATTGGCTGCAGTAAGCAGGCCTGTTACTGAATTTATTAGTTTTTTTAAAAGAGAAGTGCCAGCAGCTGTTGTTAGCAGGAGAGAAGCAGAATTGAAGTGTGATATGTTCTAGACATAATCTTAGTTCAGAATGAATTAGTTTAATTTTATCATTTTGATTGACTAATTGCTCTAAAATTATTATTGGCTGTTTGAGTTTCAGTTTGTAAAAGCTATGTAAAAGTCATCTGGCATTGATACGTGTAGACATGACACAGTCCATAAAGGTTTATTATAAGGAATTACTGTTTTTAAAATAGAATGGGGAATACCTAAATTAAAATGAAGAGTTATGGGGCTGCAAAAAATTAAAGTTAGTATTTTATTTAAATACTTTTTTATGTTGCACATATAAATATAATGATTTATCGCTGATGGCACAGATGTTGAAGCATACTGTAGAAATATTTTAAAGTCTCGATAGATCTAAAGTTCACTTTTATTTTTACTGACATTTGTGGCCACAAATAATTTAGCACTCCAGGCATGCCTGTTCCAAAACGTAAAATTTGCGTTTTTGATATCATTGCAATCTGAAGAGAGCAGTGTAACAACAGTCTCCATAGGCCCAGAAGCGAAGTGCTATGTGTCTCAGTGGCTATCTTAATTCAGAGTGAATGAGCTGTGTTATCAGCAATTATAATTTTTGGAATCAAAGGGAAAATATCCATATTCAAATGAAGAGTTAAGGGGCTAGTGCAAATACAAGTTAGAATTTTGATTTACATATTGTGTTACATACATACGTATATAGAGAGAGATAGATCAAATATGTTTAGAAAAAGGAAGCTAAAAAACGCTTTAAAAATGTAAATACTATCTAACCTAAAGGAATTATTGTGCTGTAGAAGCAAAAAATATTATAATTAAATTTATTGAATGCAAAGGAAAAGTAGAAACCTAGTAAAAATTTGAAATTTAACAAAAATCAAGTAGCTTAGGCCAAACGGCCAAAATTTTGGAATAGTTAGATTGGAATATTTTTACTCTCATCAGGAGGATGGACAAAAATAGTTGAATAATAATTGGAAAGGGAAATTGAAGTATTATATTGAAGTATTATATGTATATGAATGCATGTGTGTCTGCATGCGTATAAATATATACATATTTATATTTATATGCATGCAGAGCCAAGTTTTTGTTCCTGCAAATTTTAAGCATATCAACTTTGAATTTTATTCATATATCAACATGTTAATTAATCATAATTGTTTACAGTTAGAAGTTTAAAATTTACATTCAATTTCAGATCCTAATGTGATTAATGCATAAATAAAAAAATAGAGTAAAAAACCTATTAAAATGCTTATTAAATTTTATATAACAAGCATGTGTACAGTTAATGTAGGAAAGTGGTGACATTAATTTTAAAGCATTGAATAAGCAATTCTATTCCAGATTTGCCATGAAAATATGTATATATTATGAAATAATTCTTTATATGTTGTATTTTAAATGGTTTTAGGTTCTCCAACTGTGTTAAATCTCTTATCGAAATTGATGTCTGTTGTTCAGGATGATTCATCTGTAGCATCTAAACTTGGACTCGTCGGTTTAAAGCAATGTATAAATATGTTACTAAATTCCCTTGATGCTCTAGAATGTTTCCATTTGCTGGAAACACTACTGCAAGTCAAGGATAATTCTTACTGGCTCACTAAGGTATGTAGTTAACATTTTAACTTGTATTACATTTTGTTTTAATTGTATCCCATTAAGAAACTATAATGTATTTGGATTAATATATTAAGTGTGGTTTAATAAACAATAAAATCCATCATAAAACACTCACATATTTTATTATTTAATGAGATATTTCTCCTATCCAATAACCATTGTCAAAGTATACTGAGGAAAGAGAACATATGTAATCTTTTTCTTCTTGTGCTTAAATTTCTGAGAAAATACAGTATTATGTTCAACTAAGAATTCTAGAAGCCAGCATTTGTGTCAGTCATTTGATTTCATTCTTCAGCATCTGTATTAGCTGCATCATCTTTAGCATCTGTATTAGATGAGGCACTGATATGTAGCAGTATGTATATTTTCCCCCTTATTTTCATTGGTAGTTTTCTAAATTTGTTAAGCTCTAATTTAGAAATTATCCTTTTTACATAAATGAGATGTTACCCAGTCTTTTTCATTAGAATCTCTTAATTTTTTTCCAGCTACCTTCTCTTTGCATTTTGTTCTGCTTGAATTATGTTATTTTCTTTGAGAACAGGGTGTATTACACAATCATATTATTCAATTCTTGTTAGTATTTTCTTTGGGTATGCTTTCATGGCTTTATTACCAGCTTGTATAATTTTCCCCTGGATTAATATGAAAAATAATCTTTTGGATAGTCAAAAAAAGATTTTCTTACTGGACTTAATGAGGGAAAAAACTTCCCTTTGCTATTAAATTATTGTAAGTTTTTAAAGCTTTCTGTATAACATAGCTGTGAAGCATGGGTGTCACAATCCTGGGGATCCCAATGGTCTTTTCATTTTTCTTACCTTTATCCTTTTTGTTCTTCTATGCGGTTTCCTTTCTGGAGGTTAAAGTTTCTGGAAGTCAAATGCTATTAGATTCATTTTTTGCCTCTTTTCCCCTGTTTTTATGGCTTCTCATGGAAAGCCTACCTATGTGTTTGCCATACGTGGGAACCTATAAGATGGCAGAGAAGGAGCCAGGTAGTTGAGCAGCAAGGTGATTGATTAGGCTACCAATCCACATGAAAGGGGCAGATAGGGCAAATGATTTAAGATCATTGCCCTTATCTGCTTAAAAGTGGACACCTATTTTCATAACTTTGCAAGAACATACCATGCCCTTGACCTTGCTGTTAGCTCACCATTTTTTATACTGTGTATGGGAGATGGCCATTATTTATACTTACTATTAAAAGTAATTCTTTCAATAGTTATCATTTTACCCCCATAATGATCTTTTCTAGGAGGGAGAATAGGTCCTATTGCAAGAACACTCCAATTTTTATTTCATTTGGTCAAGTGTTATTTACAGCTTATCTGTACAAGACAAAATAGTGAGCAATGTACTTATTGATGCAGCTGTTCAAACCATTGCTAAGAAAATTATTCATACAGCTGAAATTTCTATTCTGATACCTTTTATTCAAGTCCCAAAGTATGTAAAGCCTTAAGAGAACCATGAGCAAAGGCTTAGAGTATTTTTTGCTGTTTTGGAACACTGTTCAGTCTTTTGGCTTTCAAAAGAGCCAAAGAAAATGCTAGAAAATTTCATCATAGGAGTCAGAGGGAACCTTAGGTAATCTGCATGTCTTTAATAAGTTTCTATGCTGAAGCAAATGAGTATGAGAGAGTTTTGAAACCATGTAAAATATATAAGGACTGTTCGCTTTCCATTCTTAAAAAAGAAGACTGAGCAATTAGCGCCATAGAAGAAATTACTAGTACTATTGGTGAGAGATTTGCTGCAGTTTCTAATGGGGAGTGTTACTTACCACCATTTCTTTCTGTCAGCCTACGCTCCCCCCCCCCGGAGTGACTCAGGCGAATGCCTGGGGGAAGTACTGGTTAGGATCTGCACCTAGGCAGTCTCAACCATGGGGTTATAAAAACAGACTTCACAGAAGGCCTGAGGGCTCTCGGGACAGAGTAAGGCTCGGCAGGGACCGTACGGTTACTGCCTTGTCTGCCCTTGCTCTGTGGGGTCACAACATGGTAGATTGTAAGAGCGGCGGTGTGGCACTTAATTCTGTTTGGCACTATAGCCTCAGGTCAGAAGCTGCCCTGTCGGCAAGAAATTTCCCATATCATTCAACTGTTCCAACTTTGAATCTTTTAAATCAAATCTTACAGCACTTAGTTAGGGAAGCCCTAGTGCAAATGTGCAGGTCTTACCCTGGTCTAGATGGCGTTAGCATGAAATGTGGGGCATCTATCCTATAAGTCACTGACTGCCCTTCCCTTTCTCTTTTTCTCTTTAATAAAGTTTGGAATTAGCATACCTTTCCTAGTGCATGAAAGAGAGCTATTATTGTTCCCATAGCTAATCTTGGAGAAGACCTAGAGAATCCCTTAAATTACTGTGCATTTGCACTTACGAATTGCATTTGTAAACTGCTTGAAAACGTGTTCCATCTTGCCTGGTTTCCTGTTAAGACCATTTTAAACCATTGCTTCTTTTAAGATGTGAGCAGTTGACTGCACCATTATTACAATATGGTGATTGCAATATTGGTGATCGCAACTTGACTATTCTAGTAAGGCTTCTTTGCACAATGACTTATCTTATTGATTACTTGAAGCACAATTATCATGCATGTCTTCTTTCTCTTTATAGATTTGTTCACTGTTTGCAGATTATTGCATGTCTGTTCTTAATATCCAGGCATTAAAGTATTTTAAAATGCCACGTGTAGAGAAAATGAAATTCAGCCACATGATAGACAAAAGAAATACTAACATGATCAGCAGCTCTTTTTTTTAGCATAGACACAAATACAGCAGTTACAGTCTTATATATATAGATGGATCAGAATTATTCAGTTATGTTAAAATATCATTTATAAGTGAACACTATGCAGAGGGTAGATAATAGCATGATCATTCTTTAATACTTACTTCTGAATTAGTTGCTGTTTACTATGGTTTTTTATTCCTTTTGGACAGAAATTAATTCAAAGCCATCTTCCTCATCCATTTACTGTATAAGATTAAAACACAATCTCATGTTAATTCTAAATCTTGGTGTTATTAGCTATGGTCACATTATAGTATCAGCTGTAAAAGAAGCCATGTGTGATATTTTGTAAAATTGTGCATTTCAGGGAATGCTGACTATGTTACAAGTTTTTTTTTTTTTATCTGAAACTTGAAAATAATCTAACAATTTTAACAAATCCTGTACAATTTTGTAGCATATGTCAGAGATAAGGATTTTGTGTATTAATAAGGGTTTCTGTGATACTAAATAGAAAACATAAAGACTGAAAATGTTCAATTTTCAGAAAAATTAATCATTGATAGATTATAATGCCAATATGTTATGTTTATTTCTAACAAATGCTGTAAATGGTATACATAACAGCATCCAGAAGTATTAATTGAATTTACTTCTTGCACTTTTTTCAGATAGAGCTGGCTGAGGTTGTTTCTTCTATATCATTTAAAGTAGTGAATTATTTAGAAGGTGAAAGTACTCGTAACAATCCATTATTCAAGAGTACTTGCTATCAAGATAAATTTTTGAATGGTATATTAATTCCTTTGCTTGGTGATGAAGATTTTCGTGTGCGGCAAGCATCTGCAGTTGCCCTTGTTAAGTAAGTTTTTTTAATTGCATTTGCATTCATTTCTTAATTTTTGTAGCATTATGATTATAGACATTAACATTTTTGTTCCATTTAAAAGAAAGAAAAGTATTGCAAAATTATAAAAAAATTTATACAAGTTATTGTGCTGTATTTTAATCTGAAATAAAATATTTATTTGCACTTAACTATGTAATTAATGCTTGTAGATTTAATTTAATCTCTTCAATTTCAGATTAGTGCGTAAATTTTTTTTTCCCATTGATCATCCAAATAAAGATCCTATAACTGCAATTGCTAAGGAAAGTACTGACATTTACTTAAATATACCAAACAAAGGATCATCACACTCAACACTACCTCTTGTACATGGTTTAGTGAAGCCATTTGCTGTGCAAAGTTCCTGCTCTTACAATCCAATTATAGATGCCTCTTTATCAAGGATTGTCAGTGTACTTGTAACTACATTAAGAATGTGCACTAATAAATATCTTATAGTAAGTATGCCTTTGATTTATTTTATTTTATTTTTATGAAATACCGCAGTTTTAACTATTTAATGTTAATTATGTTTGAAAAAATGTTTGAGAACTTTGACGTACAGTGTGGGAATAATCTAGATTTTCTTTAATTTAATATTTTGTTTTATTTGCTGATGTAAATTGTTTATATAAATGTTTAGATTTAAATATTTTTAGTCATTGACATGCATGGTGGAAAAATTTTAATTTTGATATCAGAAAAGGATTTATATCAAAGGATGCATCGAGATTTAAAACAATGAAATCCTTTATAAACCGTATAAATTGTCATGTTGCTGAAACTTATTGGCACTGAATTTCAACTTGCTGCAGAATTTCAAACCTGAAAATAATATTTAGTATGGGAACCGTCTCAAGACATTACACTAGTATAGGTTTATTCTCAAATCATCTTTTAGCTATGCACTGTAATGATGGCCAAGCACCACTGTTTTCTTTTCATGACAAAATTTTGTATAAATAATCCAGTTTCATCGCTTGATGGTTACTTATTCATCCTGGATATTTGACTATGAACTAGCATGTATCAACATTAGTTTAAGTTGGTTTTGCTTGAACGGATTATGTTGGTACCTGAAACAATGTCACATGTTACAACTTTACAGAGGCTGCTTCTTTTATTGACAACTTGTACATATCTACTGTAGTTCTCAAGCATGAGTTTGGATACTTTCAGTTGGTCTTACAGCCTCCATATACTTCAACTCAGTTACAGTCATTAGCCATGGTATTGGTTTTAGAGCCTACTGTTAACAGCCTTTAACACTATTTCCTTTTTTTTTTTCTTTTGTTGTAAATCTTCATTTCTGAATCTCTGAAGTCTAATGCTTTCTGATACTATTTGTTCTCATGTTAAAATGTATCTATAATGGTACAATTTTACTAAGGAAATGCCACTTGATGAAATTATTAGCTTACATTTTTTAAAGTGAAATGTGTGTTTGCTAGTTTTATATTTACATTGAATTTTTATCAAAGGAAGGAGGGGAGAATGAAGCTGTTTATGTTTTCTGAAGATTGCAATAAACTAATTTTCCTTGTAAAATATCAGTAAATTATAAGATAAAATTTTTAATTGTTGCTTTGCAAACAAATTATCATCATTCAAGTAGATTGATATGTGGAGCTACAAATGCTTATTAAACAATGATAGTAGGCTTTTGTTACACTATTTTTAATTATAATAGAGTTGTGTAACAAATACTTGTAAGCTTTCACTTTGCTTTCAGTGATATATAAACAAAATTTTAGAAATTTCAAATTAAATTAATGAATTATTGAAGTCATGCAGTGCGCTGCAAATTTAAATTAAATAATCAAGCGATAATAACTAAATCAAGAAAGTGGTCAACTGTCCGTCCAATCAGAAATACACATATTAAAATTGTGACAAAAATAATTCAGTAAAATATAATTAATATAGCATAATAAAATTAATATAAAAATGTTTTCGAAATTTCCTTAGCCTTTTTCAAAGTGCAGATGAATTTTCAGCAGACCTATGTTTCTATGTTATGTGAATTATATCTGGAGGACTGGGAATTAATGAAATAATGTTTAAAAAAGTTGTAAAATAAAAATTAATTTAATAAAAATTATTGTATTAACGGCCTTTAAAAGTGTAATAAAGTGAAATTTAAAACTTTTAACGTAATTAATTTTAATTAATCACCAAGATATATTCTACTCTGACATGACCCTAAAATAAAAATTAAAAATGATTAGAAGCTTCTAAAAAGAGTTCTTGAATGAGAAACAAGAATATCTAATGGGTAAATCAAAAAGTATTGCGCTAAATAAAAATTAATCAAATTTCTAACTAAAGAAAAACCAAACTGCTGGAAGAATTTTTACAAATGAAAATAAACTACCATAAAACAAAATATCATTTTGAAAAACAAAAGCAGAATTGTTTCAAGTCAAAATTTTGAGAAATTGAAAAATTGTTTAGAAGGAATTAAAAAGAATTTAGAATAATGACTAATGCAAAAAAGTTTCCAGATTGGGGAAAGTGAAAAAACTGTATTAAAATGGAAGACTAAATAAGTGAAAACTGAATTAGTTTATTCAATTAAAATTAATTTAAATGGAATATGAAAAGACAAATTCACAACTTTCTTTTAGATATGATTTCAAGAATTCACTATCATCCGGATATACGAGGGCTATCCAGAAATTAGATTACGTTTTGGAATAAAAAAATAAACAAAGTATAGGAAACAAATTTTATTATATACAGATGAAAGCCACACTCAAATACTACTTTTCTACATAGTCACCATACAAATTAAGGCATTTATCGTAGCGATGTACGAGCTTGGAAATTCCTTCGTCGAAAAATTCGGCCGCCTGCGCCTTCAACCACTTCGTTACCTCTTCTTGCCTTCCATCTTGCACAAAACTTGTGGTAACCAAGCTTTTCGCTGATGATTTCGTGCAACAAACTTCGCGAAATTTGTGGAAAACTCAAAGAAAGTTCCGTTATTGTGAAATTTCGATTTTCACGGACTTTAGCATCGACTTTTTCGAGAAGTTCGGCGGTCACTATGCTGGGTCTCCCCACTTCGATCTTCGTCGTGAACATTGGTTCGGCCATTTTGAAATCTTATGACCCACTGACGCACTCCACCTTCAGTGATAATGTTGTCCCCATACACTTCACGAAGCTGCCGATAGATTTCTATCGGTTTACAGTTTTTTGCAGTCAGAAACCTTATTACCGAGCGCACCTCGCAGCTCGCGGGATTTTCAATTAACGCAGACATTTCAAACCGTCACAGTATCTGAACGGAGCACAGCACGAACCTCTCACTAGCACGGCTAGATGCAGACTGAGCTGCGCAACGCTCTGACCCCAAGATGGCCGCGCTAGCCCCGCCCCTAGCGGACACAGACGGAAACGTAATCTACTTCCTGGATGGCCCTCGTAATTCAGAAACATAGGTCTGTTGAAATCTGTAGGTTTGCTATTGATCTGTTTTGGATAGTCACTATTTTGTCTTCAAATACACCACTGCTTTCCTGATCCTCTCAATTACAAAGGGCCTTTCAAACTTGATGTAGAATTTGTCTACATTTCCTAGTGTTGTCGAAGAAAGGGCATGCTTAAGTTTTAAAACTTCATCTGTTACCTCAAAATCAACCTTCAAATTTATTTTCTTATCATAATAAAATGGCCCATATCCAAATTACTGCTTGCCTTATCCTCTAATTTCTGAATGTCTGCCAACTTAAATTCTGCAGACCTCTTTTCAACAAAATAAGAAAAACTTTATCAAGTGGTGTAATTAACTTTCTGTAAAGAAATAATTGAGCTGGTATCTTTCCAGTTGCATCATATTTAGCTATTTGCAATGACACGCCTATTCGAAAATTGGCAATAATATCTTACATAACAGTGCATAATTTTAAGTATACTTCTATTCACTTGCTCTGCTACATTCGTATGTGGTTGAGACCAGTGAAGACCCATACAGATTTGCTCAAAAATTTGGCTTTTGAAGTGCTTACCATTATCTGAGATTATTTTAATTGGAGCTCCGTACTTTAATATAAATGTAGTTAGAAATGAATCTGCAACAGTTTTCAGGGACACTCTATTAAGAGGAATTATTTTTACCTACTTTGAGGAATTATCAGCAACCGCAGTTAAGTATCTATTTTTATTTTATACGGCACATTTCATTTCTTTATTTCTCATCATCCAGTTTAGTTCATGATACTTGCTAGAACATTTTATTTCCTGGGAATGTGTTTAGTTAGTAAATTGTAGTCTTGCAGTTTAAGAGCTCATCTTACGAGTCTGGGTTAACCTTGCTTTTTCCAAAATAAACTCTAGTTTTCGCACCACTTAGCAGGACTGCTGATGTTTCTTTCTTGGCAATGGTATAATTTCTCTGAGTTGGTGTAAATTTTTTTGCTAAAATATGGTACCAGCTCTCTGTCATGTGTCAGCATAGTTCCTGTTCCAATATCAAATGAGTCTGGCAATTTCTGATTTACCACCCAATTCAGGATATTTTAAGATGGGAACTGGAATTAATGCCACTTTTAAGTTTTTCAAAAGTAATATTCGCTTCTGCCGGCTAAGAGAAAGCCTTTTTTTTTGGTTTTTAAATTTAATAGGGATGCTGCTACGTTAGCCAACTCTAAAGGAATCTCTATACAGCCCAAGCCCAAAAATGATGCCAATTTTTTTGTGTTGTTAAGTGGTGGATAATTTTTTTATTAGTGATTAAATTTTAGTATCTTCCATTTTTATTCCTCTCTCAAATATCTTATGGCACAGGTATCAGAATACTTTTTCTGGGAATTTACATTTTGCTGAATTCACTTTTAACCTGCTTTTTTATAAGAAACAAAAAACTATGCAAATCCCAACATAGTTCATCAATTCTATCCCGTGTGACTATAATGTCACCTAAATAGATAAATATGGATAAGACAAAGTCTTAGAACAATATCCATGGCTTTTTTTAAATGTCATGGGTGCTCCACATAGGATAAATGTAATTTTAAGGAATGCCGAAACATCTGATTTGGTAGCAAATGCTGTTTTTGGCATGTCCTCTGGTCCCACAACAGCTGAAACATCCAGATGTAAAGTCTAGCATTGTCATGTAGTTTATGGATTTAATTTTTCTGATTATTTCCGTAGATTTAATTTTTCTGATTCCTAAACTGGATCTTTTGTTATGGTATTTAGTGTCCTGTAGCCAATGGCAAAGTGCCATGATTTAATGTCAGTGGAAAAAAACATTCATTGTAAAAAAAAAAAAAAAAGAAAGAAAGAAAGAAAAAAAGAAAAAAAATTCTTTCATCTTAGTACTACAAGCCTCATGTAGAGTCTACATATGGGTATTATAATTTTATTTTTCAGCATTTCGGAAATCTGCTTTCCTGTGATTTCTGGCATATCCTCTGGTTTCACAACAGCTGAAACATCCGGGGGGCTG